CGCAGGCTCGCCAGCCGCTTTCATTTCTGCTCTTCCTTCTCTTTCTCTCTAGACGTCAGGCCGTCGGGTCCTATGTCGCCCCGGCCCTCCAGAGGCTGAGGGGGGAACAGCGCGGCCAGGAGCCCTTCAGGCCGGTGCCCGCCCTGCAGTTTGTCCTCCGTGATGATGATGACGCAGAAGAAGAAGGACCAAAACGGGGTCCGGGGGGCCGGCGCCCCGGGGGCTCAGGGAAGGAGGGTGTCCAAGTCAACAACCGGTTCGAGCTGGTGAGGAGCGGGGCAACCTGTGGGAACTGGGGGCGGGGGGCGGAGCGTGACGTCATGGGAGGGCGGGGTGGGTGTAAAGTTGGGTCTGTACTGCGGTGGACTGGTGGGCGGGGTCTTGATGTCATGGGGGGCCGGGCTACGGGCAGCTCTGCAGTGGAGAGGGCGGGGCCATGACGTAAGGGGCGGGGCTAGGGCGGGACCGGGGCGAGCTGGGGCGGTGTCGAGGGCCGGTGGGGTCGCAGAGGAGAAGGTGGGGCTGTGCCGATTAGGGGCGGGGCTAAGGGCCAAGTGGGCGGGGCGAGCAGTTAAGGGCCCAGGTGACGATACTGAGCTGCATGGGGCAGGGCGGGGGCTTCGCTAAGAGGGTGTGGCTCTGACCTCCAGGGGTGGGACTAAAGGGGAAAGCTGGGGTGGGTTGAGCTACAGCGGGGAGGGTGTGGCTTCTGTACGGTGGGAGGGGTGGTGGCGGGCAGGACCCGCTAAGGGGGTCGCAGTGAAGGGGATGAGTGATGGGACTGCGCTGCTGCAGGGAGGGCTGCTGCTGCGGGGACGGTGGTGTGTGATGTTAGAAGTGAGGCTGGGGTGAGCAGGGGCGGCGTCAGAAAGGAGGGGGTCCCCTCACTGCAGAGGGGAGGGTGGGGCAGCGGCGTCCAGGGGCAGAGTGCCAGGGCAGAGTGCGGCTCTTGACTGCGCTGCAGTGAAGGGGTGGGGCGGGGCTTCCTGATTCGGGTCTTCCTAGATTTCATAGTCTAGCATCTCCAAAACCTTTCAGTTTATTCTTAACACCTCTGCCTAACCGGCGATGTTGCATCTTGCTCCTTCCTGCCTCCCTCACCTAGGTGTCCGCTACAGGGAGGTAAAGGAAAGTGAAATGCCCGCTGGTCCCAGGATGTTTTCCCCTTAGCACGGGCCTCATCTGTAGTTTTCTCGTTTGTATGGGTTATCTGATAGTGGCTTCTCTGAGCTGGCAGGTAGCATGACTGTTTTGCTCACCTTGTGTCAGTCTCAGTTGCCCCTGAGTTTTTATCGAGTTGGCAAGTTAAAAGGCTTTAATGTTAAAAGACATTGTGGAGTATGGAAATTGTCCTTAGATAGTTTGGGGATTTGCTTTAAAAGTTATTGACCTTGCCACTTAAGAGCTGGTCTAACCCCATAGTCTGGTGGAGGTGGGACTGAAGTCCCTTCTTTGAATTCTCTGTCGGCACCCGACCTCTTCTGTTTCTCAGCCTGAAAGTAACTCTCCCCAGCTTTCTATTTCTTTCTATCTTTTTTATTATGGAAAATTTCAAACACAGAGACATGGTAGTATAGTATTTCATGTGTCCATCCCCGGGTTCCCTAATTATGGACACTTGGCAACTTCTATCTGCCTTGGACTTTCACTCCCTTCTCTCCAGCGATGACTTAAAAACATCCCAGACAGCACACCACGTGCCCTTAAACTTGCCAGTCCTGTTTCTGACAACTCTGAGGATGCACCACTTTTCACCCTGTCCCATTATTACCAGCTCAGGATCAGTTGTGAAGTCTGCCACTTCACAAACCTTTTGTCCTTATTCAAATGCCCTCCAGATTGTCTTTAAGAATAACTCCCAGGCGGAGGGCATTTACATGTTCTGGGTACCACTCATTTCTTCCCCACAGTCTGGGAAGGGGGGTGATGTTGACAGCAGCGGTGACATCTTCAATTTATACTGGGCTGTGGCTCAGTGCTGGATCCCTTGCCTCAGGCATTGGAGGCAAGGGCTCCATCCCTAGCACTGCAAAAGAAAACAGAAAAAAAAAAAACCCACATACACATAATTAAATTTAGGCTTTTTTATTTGAAACTTGTGCTCTCTAAACCACACAATGATATTGTCTCTGCTGGTGAAAATTGGTGGGTGAATAGAGAAATAGAGGTGTTCAGGGTTATGAAAAAAAAAGAAGAGATGATTGTATGTCTGAATGGGAAAAAGTGATGCTTATGTGAACCCCTCCTTGAAATCACTCTGGTCCAAGAGATTGGCTTGGGGCTTTGTGATTGTGTAAGCCTTCTGCTTGTTGTGTGGATGTTTTGTTGTGTTGTTGTTGTTGTTTAGTTTTGACTTTTGTACTGGGGATTGAATCAGGGGCATTTTATTACTGAAGCAGGGTCTTGCTAAATTACTGCACGTCTCACTGAATTGCTGAGGCTGGCTTCAAACTGGTGGTCCTCTTGTCTCAGCCTCTCCAGTTGCTGGGAGCTTGCATTTTGGTGCTGGGGATTGAGCCCAGGGCCTCGTGCATGCTAAGTATCCTCTTCCACCAAACTGCACCCCCAGCCCCTGCTTTCTGAGGGTATTAGTATCACTGGCTTAGGTCTCCTTCCCAGTCTCTGGATTTGTGCATGAGCTCTATATCTGTATCCATGTGTCCAAATGCACCTGACCTTACAGACTAGTGCTTACCTGCTCCTCAGGCTTCCCTGTCTCTGTTGAAAACCCCATGCCAAGACCAGCCACTTGGAAGATGTCCCTGGTCTCTTGACATTTGTGCAAACCATTGAAAAGTCCTGCGTGGCTCTAAGTGCACAGGGTCGTGACCCATTCTTCCCAGTCTCCACCTCTGCTTGTCCAGGCTGCCTAGACAGCTCTCCTCACTCTCTTTTCTAGCCTGCTCTGCTCAGCCACACTGCCCTTCCTTTGCTGCCCTCTATGCCTACAGTTCCCTACGTTCAAGTACCAACACATGGCTGGATCTTTCCTCCCTTAGAGGCAGAGTCTCTTCCCCGTCACACCGCCATACAGTCTGATTATGGTCACAGTTGCCCTACAGTCCCATTCCCTCTATTCTGGCCCTTTTCCATCTCCTGGCAGTTACCTGCGAACATACTGTATACATTACTTGTTTGTCCTTTGTGTTTTGCATGGGTTGCTTCCTGGGGCTGAAGTGTCTGCTTCCTGAAAGGACTTTGTTGCTAGCTGTGTGTCCCCACCACCCAGCAGGCATGCACAGAGCTCCTCCTGGAAGACCTAAGGCAAGTCTTCCTCAGGGTGCAGGCTCCTGGGCTGCAGAGTCAGTGACTTCCATTCCAGTGTGGGATCCACCTCTTCTGGATGTAGGAGCATTGATGAGATACCTGATGAATGCTTTGGGGATGCTTTCCTTGGCCTTGTGGGACTGTGGTGAAGACATGCTGGGCCCTCAGTGGGCACTCAGCAAGCACGGAAATGATGTGATGTTGAAATGGAGGAAGCAAGAGAGCTTTTCTAGAAGAAAAGCCTCCCGGGGAAATGGACGCAGACACCTATAGGCCTGGTCCCCACCTGCCGCCTAGAGTGTGGACCTTGGTGTCATGCATGGCTCATGGGTGTTCCTTTGGCTTTGGTTAGAAATCACCTTTACTGTCTCAGTCAGGGGGTCCTAAAGACAGCTTACTGAAGTTAAGTCAGATGAAGTGCAGTCAGATGCACCCCAGGGGTATGTAGTGAGTCTTGACAGAGGCCTGCACAGCATGAGTGCCACACCACATTCTGAGAGCTTGCCACCCTGCAGCCTGTGCCCCCTTTCCCTGCATGTGTGTGAGTCCTGTCTGTGTCTGCATTTCCCACCAGCAGAGTCTTCCAGAATGTGCTCTTTCCTTCTGTCCCCGCTTGCTTAGCCTGTGCTTTTGAGTTCCATGCAGGCTGTGGGTTTTCGCGGTCAGCTCCTTCTTGCTGAGTAGCAGTGTATTGCAGGGTGTTCATCCGTGGTGTTTCAGGGGTCTGACTCATTCTGGTTGGGGGCTGCTCTGCCTGGAGTTGCTGGGCTCTAAGGACAGGTGTTTTGTGGGTTTGGGTTTCATTTTGGCTGATGGGGCATCTACAGGGAGAACTGCTGCATCGGGAGTGGATGCGTATACCTGGACCAGCAGGTGCTGAGCGCTCCTCCAGCGTTTT